TTTTTTTTTTTACGTAATAAAGACACCAAAGAAAAATTTCCAAAAAATCACGAAACATGACCAAAAAGTGGCGATACAATTTCTCATACGTTCAGAAAAAATGAAATTTCTTAGACCGAAGCGACTTTACCACAAAAAAATAAAACAAAATTTTTCAAAAACCTTTCTTACCTCAAATTCTGCCCATGAGCACGCCATCTGGATGCACACACAAGCAATTGCTCTTGCTGGAAACCGTACGCCCCAATTCGTCATGTGCAACCTAAACGATTGACAAGGTGAGCACAGGCCAGTAAAACTGCCATACGCTAAGTTTTCTTAGCAATCTTAAAAAACTTACATATCGCTAGCAAACCAATACGCGATTTCGGACAACCTCCGATTGCCTAGATTAACAATGAATATAAAGTGAAACTCAACATTACCAACTCACCTACTTTACAACGAAAAAAAAAATCATTACAAACAGAAGTAAGCAACATGCCTCTAGTGAAGTCTTGCATCTGCTTTAATACGTACGGATGAGGAATGTCAACAGTGAGATCAAAAGCTGCAAAACAAAGAAATAAGATTCCTTACACGCGGTTTCTTCGCATAACTAGTAGAAAAATGGTGAAGCTATTCTTTCCGACAGTTACTAAAAAAAAAGCAAAAAAAAATTAATAGGTGTAAACTAACCTATAGTTTGCAATACGACATTTTCCAAAGTCACGATTAGCTGTGCTGCATCATGATAACGCTAAAAACCTGGTATCAGGAACTATGAGATCATGACTTTACAGATAGAATAAAAAACCAGACTAACACTGTTCTCCAAAGTTGGAGAGAATGGGAACTTGATAGCCCACCACACTCGAACAACATGCTCCAGCTTGCGGGGACATTCCTCCGATTTACCAGCAAGAAAGAGACATGCCGCAGCAATATCCTACAAAAGAAAAATAAAAAATAATAATAATAATAATGTTCCCACTAATATCCCACACAACAGTTCAGAAAAACGCAGAGAGAAGATGTTCAGTGTAAAAAATAATTTATTAAAAATTTAAAAAAGTACCCTTGGATCGAACTTGTTAAACGAGTGGAATACGAAAAACCTATGCATATGCATCATGGCAGCGCAGATGCACAATTGGGATCTAAATGCAACACATGAGATTTAAAATAAAAATCTGAAGACAACAAGATGGGTCATAAACCTCGGGAATTCAAGAGCTTTTCCAGATATAAACAAACATGAACATTAAAATATCAAAAAAAAAAAAAACTTTCATGATAAGCTCACGCACAATATGTTTACGATAAAAGCTGAAAAAGAACATTTTTTCTATCTTTAACCAAAAAGTTCATACTTTTCTTCCAGAAATACCTAATAAAAAGTTTAAAAAACAAGAAAACAAAAAGTTCATACCCAAACTCCTCTCAACAAAAACACTATGCCCTGTCACCCATTATAAACTACTCTTCAACAAAATAACGGTCACTAGACTTCGATTAAAAATTTTGCTTCCCAAATACTCCACCCCATCTTTTAAAATTCTAAGTAAGGCTTTGCAAAGAAAGTGAACCTAAAAAAAAAAAACAGCCGTAAAAATCGTCTTCACAAGGCTTACATTCTGAAGCGAGATTCATGGTTAAGACGATCCGCCATCTGATGTATCGTATGAGCCGCTGTACGACGAAGCTTTAATTCCTAAAAGTAATCATGCATATACATATATCAGCAGTAATTAAATGAAATGTTAGCGAACAAAAAGTACCTCCTCAGGATCCATACCCTCTTTAATACTAGGGACGTTGAGCAACTGTTCCTCGGTAAAAATCCAATGTGAGGAAGAAGCCTGCTGCCGTGTGCTCACTGACGAGTTACTTGGCATTGAAAATGAACCCGCTGTTGCCGACATTGCTTACTAGTAGTATTCTAAAAACATGAAAACTAGCGTTCTGGAACACGTGAATCAATTGTTCTGCAATAATTCTAATAAAGGAATCTCCAAAATGCTATCGAGACCGAAAAAGACAAGGTGTTAAGTGTAAGTGTAAAAAGGTCCAGTATAATTAACTTCAATGTCCCAAACCAAACAAAATAAAAAAACTATACAAAAAGATGTGTCCCAAAAACAGTAAATGCCCTGTACTTTAATTGATTAGCTGACTAACTAACTAACTAAACTGATAAATATATCAATTAAATAAGCAGTCCCTTTTAGCAATTAGAAGTACCAAGTTACAGTGAAACAGAGTTTTTTTGAAATGAAAAGTTTTCCTCAAAATTTACTGGAAGTGTGTTGCACGCGCACCCACCAATACAGCAAGTTTCAGGCTTCCTAAGGAAAGGGATTCCTTGAACATAAAAAAATTGTAGCAGTGAAATTTAGCAAAAACTAGTAATGCTACAACAGAGTTAACGAGAAGAAAGAAAAACGAACGCATATAAAAACTGCAAATTAGTAAATCCAGTGAAGGAATGAATCATAGAAGCTCCACCTACGTCTGACTGGTCAGGAGCTTTTACACAGACAGGAGAACGGACGGTAGGATTCCGACCAACACTACCGACAACATCCGAGTGACGCACACCTAAAGCGTTGCGTCCGTTGGATGTTCATCAAATATTGAACGCTCTCCAGGGAGTCATTCCGCCTCCCCTTCAATACTCAACATTTTCAAAAAAAAAACTATCAGTTTGTAGCAGCTTTCTAATATTGAGCCACAGAAAGACAGGGCGCAACGGCGGACGTTTGGAAATCTGGCCTTAATTTTACTTTGACAGACTTCCACACAATAATTGAAGTAAAAGTCGGTATAAGGGTTCGATTCTGGTTAGGGTTTGAGTAAAACACGTATCACTTTCACGACAGTTACTGACCACTTATTTTGCGACTCGCAATTTATAACATTTATGCAGAAATATTTCGCAGAAGCACTGACAAGGATCGTTCGTTTCGTGTGAACGCTTCTCAGTACCGGCAAGGTGACAACGATGCAGGACCATGTTTACTTCTCGGAGGTTTTTCTGATATTGCTTTGAAAAGTGCAGGTGGTCAAGTAATCGCAGTTACATAGCACCTCTGAAATGGTGCTCAAAAACTTCGACTTCTCTCATCAAATTAAGCTTCGGTTTTGCATTTGGAGGAATATGAATCTCATAGTTGCACCGCTGCTCTTGCAAACTTTATGCTTTATGAGCACTCAATAGTTGCGCCGTACAAAACTGAATTTCGTTGTCACCGAAAAAAAAAAAAAAAAAAAAAGAAAAAAAAAAGGAAACAGGTGAGACCCACGCGAAATGAAACATACAAAAAACGTTCCTTTAACTTCTGCAAAATCAGAATTCTGCATTATCGATGATTATTATTATTATTATTATTTTTTAATCGAAGAGGAAGAACTAACACCCTGACATCCTCTACTATAAGTATTCATCCAGTCAGTTCCTAAAAACCGGGTGTTCTGTCCCATTCATAAAAACTGTTTCTTCCCATGAATAAGACAGTTGATAACCTATGGCCACCTGAACTAGAAGTTAGCGTTCTTGAGATGACAGGTTCAAAAAATCTAGAGACATGTAATCAACACTTTGGAGGTGTTACAAGTTGAAATCATTTAGGTTTTTAACCACTTTCCGAGAAAACTTGAGTGGGTCAAATGAGGAGTAAATGAGTTCTTTGTTGCAGATGAATAAAAGGTCATGTATCAAAATGATAGGTCCAGTCTGCTGGGTAGTTCTGTTTCTCAAAGGAGAGTATAGGAGTATATAACAAAGAGGAAGAGAAGTGACGACTTAGAAATAACGACAGCTATAAAAAGAGAGAGGTGTACGGTGATAAAGGTAGTGGCAGCTCAGTAGCTGCAAGCTTAACTTAACCAGGTTCTTCAGTAGTCTCAGCAGAGCTCTGTTGAGTGCCTGACAGTCTGTTGTAGAACAGGCATTAAGGTATGACTTTCATTTAAACAGGTAATCTACGTGAGACGATACCGACTTGCTTTTAAAAGGGCGAAGCTTGCTGGGATTACCAAAAACCCACGTTTTTCTCTATTTTATTTTCTTGAAAAGAGCGTTATTTTCCGCTGTCAGAGTATTAGTTAGAAAAATCTAAAATTGTTAGAAAAATTTTGTCATTCAAAAGTGCCGCTATAGCTGCAAGCAAAAAATCACTAATGGCTAAAATGGGGAAGTGGAGGAAGAAGAGGAGGAAGTTAATATAAAAATTCCAAGTATTTACAGCAAAAATATTCTCAATATCTGTTAAATTTACATTTCCTAGATTTATAAGAAAGGAAGATAGAAGAGGAAATAACCGGCACAGGAATAAGAAAAGAGAAATTGGTGAAAGAAATCATAGTGGCAAATTATACCGTATAATTTCGAAGACATGTTAAAAAAGATTGTATACTTCAAAGCAAAACGAAATAACTAAGAAATCAAGAAAACAAGATCCAAGATTCTAGAAAATGCTTTTTATATAGAAAGAACGGCGGGCCTGTACCGAAGTGCGAAAGCCGTCAAGGATAGTTGTGGATCTACCTGCTTATATCTCCTAAAACAGCCTTAAACTCTTCACGGCTATTTTTTGTCAGTGATTTTCTTGTGTACGCAAGTTTTGTTCACCCGCATTTGCGACCACACAGGAGACCATAAGCGGATCTCATCAGCTGCGAATCTTTCGTGAAGACAGTAATTGGTCGATAATATATTTTGTCGCTTTCTAAAACAAAGACGTTTAAAAGTGGCGTGAAATTGACCTTCTGCCTTCCTTCGCAGTGTCATGTCCGTACAAACTTGATGATTATACATTAATTTTTTTTCTGCGAAGTAGGAAAGACCCTATCACTGTGTTCCTAATTACAATATATCAAAGTATGATTTTCAACAGCGAAAAAACTTGAACGTCTAAAGAGCAAAAAATTAAGAAATAAGAAAAGACAAATTAGAAGCGAAAACTCAGCAACCGTCATTACTTTAAGTGATGCAAACTGAGGTTTTTGAGGCATTAAGATGCTAGTAATCTAAAAAGACCATGGCGGCCGGAAAAGTCCGAAAAAAAAAAAACGATTTACAGTACATTCGTTAAAAAACTGCAAGTTCCTGAAAAGAAGTCAGAAGGGTGCGAGGAATGGCACAGAAAGACCTTGTTTCATATTGAAAAGTGGCTTTGAATGTTTCTACACCAAATCAAGATTAAACCCTTCTGTATGTTGCTTTTTGTATCATTTATTTCTCTCACTTCCTTACAGTACGTATTTGCTCTTATTCAGTTTGTTTATTCATATTTGAGTCTAGATATTTTATTTTCGCTTATTTCTTTGTCGTTCATTATTTTTTAAATTTTTTTGTTCTAGTTAATTATTTTACTGCATACACTTAAATTGGTTCGCTGCTTTTTTTGGCTCAGAGTTTCAATATTTCTCTCTCATCTCTTTGCCTGCTATCGCAGCTGTTTTGTAGCAAAATCTTTTGTAACGGGTCACTGCAGCTACCACCTTTGTGCACAGCTTACGTCATTTAGTGGTACCGTAGTAAAATTTAGGTGTTTGATTGAGTTTAAATGTTCTGCGGCAGTATCTGGTCTTTACGTAGATGACAAATTAAAACTATAAAGATACTTAAATACTATTTAAGCGTAATAACACTTATTTTTTTTAAAATGAAATAAGTATGTTCAATATTGAATGGGTGAGGAGCTTCTTTCTCAAATAAAGCTGTTGAGTCATGTTTTTTTCATCATATCTATACTTTTCTTGAAGACGTACGTATTTGAATTTTTTTCTGATCGATGGTAAAGCAATCTAGTTTACTGAAGTTGTTTAAATTAGAAACAGTGATTAATTTTCCAGCTTTTAGTTATTTTGCCTGGGTTTTAGAGAAACATTTATACTTTTTGATAGCAGAATCTGAGGTGTATACATTAAATGACTATGACATAAAAGATATAAGAGCCGTTCATCTTCAAAGGAAAAAATGCTACATGTTATCATATGTCAATATCAGTTTTGGAAAGATTACATCAAAGCACTGAGCTGTTTAGAGGATACAGTGTCTTGCCGTTTGGCTGACCCCAAAATCGGACCAATTTTAATTTTCTTATCTTTTGAGTTATCGATTCCAGAACCTATTGTTTGGGCATCCTTTTTTCTGAAAAGAAGCAAAAACTTTATTCTTGTACCAAAAAGTTACCAACTTTTCTTACAGCTCTGTGAAATTTCCCATGTAACGGTCGGGAAACCTGTTGTCTGCCAATCACGGTGTTTGTTGGCTGTTCATCGCATGCGAATCTCTTTGCGTTTAAAAGTCCTTCAAGTTTAGCTTACATTCTTTTGGCCACCCCACACCAAATCACATACTTCTGGAATTTATTATGCGTATTTCTTGAAATTTAGTTGTTTTTTAAAAAATATGTTGCTTACTTCAACGCTTTCAAAGCTAGCCACCTGCTAGCAACAACTGTAGGAAAATCTGTCTGCTGGTGCGCTAGTATTTGGATGACAGTACTTTTGCAAATTAGGAGTACCCAAGCGATGGTCTACTGTAGTGCGCAGAGCGATAACTATGTTCATTAGGAGCATTAAAATTCGTTTATTAAGAATTTAAAAGCGTATTAGTCGGCTAGGATTTATATGAACAACACTGCGAATAACTATCTGAATGATGTAAGATATACATCTCTTATCTAAACAAATGTTAAAGAAGTTAACGATTATCCATAATTGGCTGTCGTTTAGGTTGCTGAGAGTTTTTTCAGGAAACTAAATTTGTACACACAGTTCTAAACAAAGTCATTTTTTGGGGTGTCTTTGTTGGGACAATTCAGTTTTTATCACAATTTGAAATTGGGATTCTGAACATATTAGTTTACAAGTACGAAAAAACTGCTCGTACACAACTTTTCATCAGAGTTTATTGCTTATCTTTATCTAAGAGATGTTACGCTAAAATGCACCTTACAATTATATGTAGTTTTTGGAGTCTCTTGATTATTCCGTCCTGTTCTAACGATTCTGCGATTGGTAAGTGGAGAAGGATATAACTTTTCAGAAACGCTGGTAGAACTTTATTAGTTGTGAGAAGAAAAGAAGAACAATAACGTGACTAAATGCCGTTAAAGTAACTTTTCATATAACTTATGACTTTGATAGATAAGATGAAGACTTTCACATATTTTCCAGATTGTTAGCAAAGAGTTTTGAGTAAAAATGCATCCTTTTAAATTTTTAAAAAGAATTATATTCTAAAAAAACATTATTTTGGTTTAAGGTATTAATATCGTAAGGTAGCATTTTGACGATTTCACGAGACACAATGTGGTATGAGACCAGGCTGCAAAAAGCATCAAAAGCAGTATTTTTGAGTCTTCTTAAGTGATAGCATTTCGGCTTCAACCAAAATATTTTTTTTACTTAAACGTTTTTTGGTTCAGTTAGTTCAGCCACAAATGCATTAGGTAAGTCGAAATATAAATGCGATGCTAGAAGGGCTTTGTATTCTTCATATTTCTTTTCAGAATAAGGAAACTAATGATTTTTCTTCCATTTTATTCAATACTTTGCCACAAAGGTCATCGACAGTTTAGTTTTGACGCAAAAGTGTTTATGTTTTACAGCTTCCCTGCAGTATCGGACTGCTCAACTAATGACATTATAGTAGTATATTTATTTTAACGCCACTCGATAAACTTTCTGAGAGGAAAATACAATTTGGAGAAAATTATCTGCTTTTCCGACAAAGCTGCATCGCAATGCAAAAATCAAAAAACTCTCCAAATCACTTTTATAATCCAGAAATTTGGCAGTTGCAACAGAGTCGCATATCTTAGCAATAGCGTACGTTAAGAATCTCGGTTATGGCATGAGAGACATATTGAAAAGACTGGCTGCGAGTGTCAGCTTGTAAAGGACACTTTCAGGCTGTATCTTAACTGTCAGCGAGCTTTAGGCAAATGGACAGTGAACAGTCTAAAAGAAATGCCAGTATTTCTTGCATCATCAGAATAATGT